AAATTTTAATAGAAATATCACATCTTCGTTTCACGCAGAAATATATTAAATTTAGCCGGTCGACATTTTATATAGATTAATGAACACACATATTGACTTGATAGTCTTAGATCAACGTTAAGATAATTATCGAATCTGTTTTCCGATCAATTAGACAAATCTCATTTTATATACAAACGAAGAAAGGTATCGTTACGTCTCGCAGAGCCTCTTCATCTCTGCCTTAACGTTCCTTTGTTGCGTACGCGTTTGAACGACGATGGTATGGTCGATATCTGTCAGGAGCTGCGTGTCTTCGCCTATTCTTCTTCATGGCCAAGATATAATCTGTTACATTGCATCCACAGTCACGCATAATGGTAGCTATGCTGTTATATCAAAATAATATTTGTAGATTGCCTCAAGATTTTCATTATATTTCAATAAGTTTTTACCGTCTACCTTCTTAAATTTGTGGTATCTTGCTCGGTGAAAAATGTAATTGCTTTTCCTTTATGTCCAGCTCTGCCAGTACGACCTATTATTTAATATTCGTTCATTAAGAATTTTGAATATAAATAAATAAATATAAATAAATAATTTTGAATAATCAAAGTTGGAGACACGTACCAATTCTGTGAATGTAAGAAATAGCAGACGGCGGAAAATCATAATTGATGACGAGATTCACACCCTTGAAATCGATACCTCTCGCCATTAATTCTGTACATATCAAAACCCATATCTTCCCTTCTCTAAAGCAGCGGACAACGTTATCTCGCTGAAGGAAAAATATATTTTCACGATGACATTTAATCATTTACAATTTCCAGAAAAATGTACCTGCGTTTGTGTCCTATCAGCGTGAATGACGTCGACATTAATGCCATCGTATATGAGCTCGTTAAATAATTCTTGCGCTCTTTCTTTGCTCTGTACAAATACCAATACCGGTGGCAGTATTCCCTTTAAAAAGTATGAGATGTACTTCACAAAAATATAGAAAACTAGATTTTTATGTCGATTTTACTACCTTTTGGATTATATTTCTAAGTGCTACAAGTTTGCCTCTCTCTGCACCAACGAACAAAAGTTCCTGTTCTACTAAATCAGTTGCAGCATTTCTGCAATAAATACGATATTAATAGCAATGTATAACATGAAATGTTTGTAGATGTAAAGTACCTGTGCCCGACGGTAATTGTTACAAGTCTTTTCAAATTACGTCGGCACCATTTAGTGACAACGGTGGTACTAGTTGCACTAACATCGTCGTCTTTAGATTCTCATTTGTACATGCTTTGGAAATTGCTTCCAGTTGATCTTTGAAAGATCTTGTACCATCTTCAAAGAGTTTATCCGCTTCGTCCACGATTAGCCCCACTCAACGCTACAAAACAGAATTTCATACGTAGATAAAGAATAATTTCTAAATCAAATGAAAATGATCGTTGCGAATTACTTGCTAAAAGAAATAGCTGATGGGTCCTGGTTTAGTAGATATAATATCCTTTTTGGTGTCGTGATTAATATATCTATAATAATAAAGAAATTTGATCATTGTTGTGTTAGAATTAGTTTGTTTCTCTGTAAATGTTATACCAACCAAATTTCTGTGAGCTCTTTGGTCCATATTTGTTCAATGCTTGACTCACTTTACTTATGATATGAACTCAAAAATCGAATCCTTGGCTGAGACGTAAACATTCTCTGTATGTTTGCTTTGCTAATTCTCTCGTTGGACTTAAAATGACAGCTCTGAATCCTTTCTTCTGCGGTCCTCCTAAATGATGAATGATGGGTAACAAAAACGCAGCTGTTTTTCCTGAGCCTGTCGGTGCACAAGCTAGAATTTGTCTACCCTGGTTGAATATTCGCAAACATGTATATTTCATCTTTTTTTTTTTAATGGTAATGTGTAATGAGTCTTACTTGTAACATGGCAGGTAAGGCTTGCATTTGAATAGGCGTAGGAACTGGGTATCCACAATTGATAATATTATCTATTAATTTATCAGAAAGATTGTGAATCGTTGAGAGTTCAACAAATTCTGAAATTGGTCGAGGTACACGATTGCCTGTGACACTTATACGATTAGCATTGCGAAACTGATTAACCTAAGAAAATAAAAGAACATAGTATCATTTTTGTTGCATTGTAAGGTAAATAAGATCTTTTAAAACCTTTTCTTGTTCCAATTTGATCTGTTTCTCCTCTGTCAAAGATTTGCATCTCTTATTCTTGTTTTCAGA